CTACGTACAGCAAATTGTTTTTAAATTAAGTGGTAGTAGAATAATTTTGAACTTTTAAAAAGTAAGCTTAAATATTAATACACCAGCCTGAATGTTCGACATATTTCGCAGAAAATATGAGTTCTCCTACATGAATTGAACCTGTATTTCTATACGGAAACCATCCTTTAATCTGACGTGCTATACTATTTAGCCACAGAGAAGCGTTTGGTTAGCAATCTCAAAATTACTGTCTTTAAACACTACGATTTTTGTCAATCGATCATATCGCCTCTCGAAACGTATTTTAACGTGAACATTGACAACTTATAATGAAATGGATTAAGTCCGACAAATTTTTTTTTTTTTTTAAATTTCTCAAACATTTAAGCCCGTAAATATACTGTTTAATAACAAAACAGAGCATTATTTACATTATTCGGATTATTGTCCTCATCTTTGTCGCCATATTTATTACAACGTTTCGGCCGTTGTACGCTCCGGCCTTCTTCAGGTGTTTGGAATGTCCAACCGGACCCTTTAATTCACTCACTGGGGTAGACTGTTCTAGTTCCACATGCCATGTCTAATGGATGTCAGTTATCAATTATCTCCTGTTAATTCCCTCTCCAAGTTCCCCACTGCCTTAACCATGAAGTGAACTCACAGTCTTTGGGTTCTGTCACTGGATCTAAATAACTTCGACATTCCAACCACCTCTTTCTATCTGTATACACACGCACACGTATACACCCATTATCTCTCTCGCTCTCTGTACATAAATACTTGTTCCTCTCTTTCTTTCACTTCCCTTTCTCTCGCTCTCTTTCTCTCTCTCTCTCTCTCTCTCTCTCTCTCTATATATATATATATATATATATATATATATATATACACACACTGTCTGTCTGTCTCTTTCTCACTCTTTTCACTCTTTCTCTCTCTTTCTTCCTATCTGTATAGATACATATATATGTATATATACAGAGTTTGGATGATGATCGCATAAGCGTGAAACCCAGGGTTACAAAATTATATCCATTTAACTATATATATATATATATATATATATATATATATATATATAAAAACCCTTTCCATCTTTCTTCTGTACATATATATTTGCTCCTCTCTTTTCTTTTTATCCTTTCTCTTCTTTCTCTCTCTCTCTCTCTCTCTCTCTTTCTCCATATTTATATATTTGAAGTATCGATTGTTCTCCCCGGAATCGATACTTTAAGTATACAAATCATGCATTCACCCCTGCATCGATTATTGCTGTCATATATGGTCTGGTGCACCTTTTGTTTACCTCAGAGTTCTTGACAAAATCAAGAGGCGGATATGTAATATAATTGGTCCTGATCTGGCATCTCGTCTACAGTCGCTCTCTCACAGACGGGCCGTCGCCTCCCTCTGTCTTTTCTACAAATACTTTCATGGTAATTGCTCCGATGAGCTGCTTTCACTGGTTCCCAGGCTTCATGAATTCAAGCGCCCTACGAGGCTGGCATCACGCTCTTACCCTTTCACTGTAGAAAATTTTAAATGTAGCCGTATATATATATATATATATATATATATATATATATAGAGAGAGAGAGAGAGAGAGAGAGCGATGTATAGAGAGAGAGAGAGAGAGAGAGAGAGATAAATATATTATGTTGATATTTCTTCTGTCATGATTGCATGTAAATATCAACATAGTCATATCCGTCTTTTATCATTCCATATTATATGATATTTATTTTACCTATGTGTAATATGTACTGGGAGCACAGTGGATTGCAGCTCGCATTGACCAATCAGAGAATCGAGTTTGAATTCCAGTTCAGTTCATTACATTCACTTACGTGCTTGGGAAAGGTATGAATTCATCTCTTCTCCCCGACTATTGGTAAATAGCAGGACAAACTGGGTTCTGCAGCCTTGGTTGGCAACCAGTCTAGGAGATGGAAAAACTCTGATTCAAAACCAACCTGCTGTCTTATAGGCCTCGTTTCTTTCGGTGAAAAGGCTAGAAAAAATCCACTTTGCATGTCTTCTTGAAGAAATAAATTTTTCTTCCCTACCTCTGCTTTGAGCCACGACAGAAAATCATGCATTTGCTTTTTTTTTTAAAAACGCATATGTCTTTTTCACACTTTCTACCCTTTTATTTCTATGCTTAAGGCAACTCTATTATAAAAAAGAGAGAGAAGAAAAATAAAAGAAAACACTGAACAACTTCTACGAAACGGAAGTTCCCTAGTCCAGCGTCTAGTTATTGTGGTTAGAAATCTTCCAAAAAGAAGAGAGGCTCTACTCATAACTTCCGCTTTAAAAAAAGAAAAGAAAAGGACACCGGAAAATTAATAAAAGAATTTTGGTCAATCAAAGAACAAACAAACTTTTGATGTTAGTCGAAACCAAGCTTCGTGCCAAGTAGCCTGTAACCTTTCAAAATTGTATATAAACAGACAGCTGACAGCAGAGAAGAGACAACCAGAGACTGGTAAGTGTGTGTCGTGTGAAGAACTCAACTGTCATCTGCTAAAGACATTTTCCCGCCCTTTTTGAGAGTCAGTAGATTTTGGCCGCAACATGTTCCCAAAGTCACCACTCTTTTGACAGCTGCCAACAAGATGACGACTATCGTCAAAGTCTGACTCGTAAAATAACAGGTACCAAGTCGAAGAAACTTTCGCCAACCAGATTTATAAAGGACTCGCTCCTATTGAAGTCGATTAAATAAACATGCTTGTATCTTCGATTCTGTTTGTTTATTTCAAAACGGTTCAGAATTTTCCGATAAATATTACTAAGAGCCTCAGGCGCACCTCCACACTATCTTTAAATTTTAAACAAATTTCACCCCTCTACGTTGGCCTCCAAGAATGAAATCGAGGCGTGAGCTTTGAAAACATTTGTCAGAGAACAACTTCAGCAATTCTAAAGATATAATTATTTTTAATAATTTAATAATAAAAATTGTATATAAATAACGTTTTTTGAAAAGCGTATTTTTCCTTTCTTCTTCAATCAATAGACTTTGGCACGAGTTTGCCATTTTAAAACAGCAAACAACCCACTTTCTGCATTATCTTATCTTTTCTTTTAAAGAATTTTTTAAAAAGATATTCTCATATTCTATATGGCGACTCCTTGTCGACTTTTTCTCGTTTTCTTTCCTTCCGTATTTTCCTTCTCCCCAACAATTGTCACGTGTGCTTGGTTTCATCTTCGCTTCATTCGTTCGTTCCTTCATTCATCGTTCATTCCCAGTTTTTTCTTCTCGTTCATTCTTACGTTCTTTTCATTCGGTTCTTGTAAACTTTTTTATTTCATTCTTTTTGTTTCGTTGTACGTTTCTTTCTGTTATCATTTTCTTTTTTCTTTCTTTCTTTCTTTCTTTCTTTTTCATTCTTTCTTACTTTTTTCTTTCTTTCTTTTTTTACTTTCTCTTTTTCTTACTTTCTTTCTTTCTTTTTCTTTCTTTCTTTTTCTTTCTTACTTTCTTTCTTTTTTCTTTCTTTCTTTCTATTAATTTTACCTTCTTTCTACCTTCTTTCTATTATTGTTCATGAAATCGTTCTTATTTTTCTTCTTCCTATCTGTAACCATATTTCTTTCTTTTCCTATCATTCTTTCTTTCTTTCTTTCTTTTTACTTTCTTTTGTAACTCTTTCTTTCTGTAACACATTCTCTCTTTCTTATTGTAACACACTCTCTCTTTTTTTAGCCCACTCTCTCTTTCTTTTTGTAACCATTTTTTGTTTGTTTCTTTCTACCTTTAGCCAACTTTCTTTCACTCTTTCATTCTTTCTTTAAGTTTATTCCTTTCGTTCTTTAACAGTCTTTCTTTTTTCTTTCTTTCTTTCCTTCTTTCTTTCTTTCTTTCTTTCTTTAACCAACTTTCCTTCTTCCTTTAACCAACTTTCTTTGTCTTTCTTTCGTTCTTTAACCGCTTCTTTCTTTCTTTTTTCTTTAACTTTCTTTCTTTTTTATCCATTTTTCATTCTTTCTTCAATAATATTTCTTACTTTCCCTCTATCTTTCTTTCTTTCTTTCTTTTCCGACGTAATTTTCTTTTGTTGAAATTATATATATATATATATATATATATATATATATATATATAATTTCAACAAAAAAATATATATATATATATATATATATATATATATATACCACCACATCAAGCAAACATCGTTATTATATTATTAGATATGAAATGCCAAGTGAATACAAATATCATTCCTGATTGGCTAATACAATAGAAATGCAGCTCAATTATTGGATGAAAAACAACCACAAGAGAAAAAAAGAGCAATAAATATATTGATAAAAAGCATGAAAACAAATATGGCGGAAAGCAGAAATCCAATAAATGAAAAAGAAAATAAGGGAGTTAATAATAATAATAATAATAATAATAATGTGGAAACAGCAAGAAATGTAAACGAATAATGAAAATGTGAAGCAAAAGGTGAAAAATGTTATCATTTTGGCTCGACCTAGATTTGATTTGATGGGAAAAGAAAGACAGAAACCGTGACAGTATGAACATATACGTTTTTTTCATATTTATAGAAACTGGAAAACAACCGTTTCCCTTCCACCTCTTCTCTGTTTTTCTGTATCATTATAGATACTGATATACATATAGACCAGTAGAATGCATTTGTAGTCGTGCTGCCAACAAAGTTTGCAACCGACAATGACCCTGGGCTTAAGCAAGGTTTCAGGATTGGAGCATCATTAAAACTAGCGCAGGGTGTTGACGAATAATATAACCAGATTGTGTTATTCTTTAGAAAATATAGAATATATATATATATATATATATATATATATATATATATATATATATATATACTGACATCCGTCTATTTCGGATACGAAGTATCCATTATAATGACGTTTGATGCAATAAAATGTCGGATTAATAATAAATCCATTAATTTTCTCTCTCTCTATCTATCTCTCTCTCTCTCTCTATATATATATATATATATATATATATATATATAGTGGTCGCTACTCATATTTTATATATATATATATATATATATATTGTGTATTTAGGTAGCAATCCCTCTTTTATACATGTTTCATTAAAAACGATAGACAAGGTACTGTGATCAAGCCTTTTATTTAATTTTTCGTGTATTCGAACAAGTGTTTTCTTTTCTGGAATCAGAGTGATTAGAAACTGTCCAAATGTCCTGTAATTGGAGCGCTTTCGGCTATACCTTTAGCCATTATCAAGAATGATTTTATTTTTACTTTTTAACTGGATGTATGGGTTTTGTGAATGAATGTAGAGCTGTAGGGATATTTTATTTTCCGAATACACTCAGTGCATTTTGGCCGTGTTCGTACATAATATTACTGAGTTTTGTCCTTTTTCTTTTTTCTTATTAAGGCTTCCATTATTTTTAACCTTTTTTACGTGTGGATGAGGTTATTATCCTTGTATGTTTTGGATGGAGTCTGGTAAGTTTGTATGCGTGTTTAAATGAGTTCTAATGGAGCTGTGGCCGGATTAGTGTGACGTAAGTCGTTTGGATAGGCATGTATAGATATGTATATTTAGGCATCATTTCATTCAAGCATGTTTGGTTGAATAATCTAGACATATTACGTCTATTTATTTTATTTTAATCCTCTCCAATTTACGGATCGATTTCTTAGTGCTGTTATTAAACTAATTAAGGGAGGCGCCGTAGTTTTACACATTGCTTTTATTTTCACAAGTACTTTGATTCTCATCCAAGACCATCTTCAAGGGTGAATTGCTAAGACAAAAAATAATGTAATTTATAGTTGTGAATTTTTTTTGTAAATAAAATTTTTTGAAACGCGTTCCGTTTTAGTCAATGTAAAATTAATGTTAAGAATATGAAAGGGCGGTAACCTAATTTATATTTTTTTTTATTATTAATGTTTTAAAATATTCAACCTGCAATTTAAAAAAAAAAAATTAAATTTTTTTTTTTTTTTTATTTTCATGGTGAATTATACTTGTATTGTCAATTAATATTTCTCTAAAACTTGAATGTGGACAGGAATAAAGAAAATCGCAGGTTGAGTATTTTAAAACAAAAATCTTTTCTTAATCCGTGTAATAACCACACTAAGAAATTGATCATGTTTGGTTGAATAATGTAGACATATCTTGCCTATTTATTTTTTATTTTAATCCTATCAAGTTCTTAGTGTTGTTATTAAACTTATTACGAAAGACGCCATAGTTTTGGTCATTTCTTTTATTTTCTTAATTACTTTCAATCTCATCCAAAATCATCTTCAGGGGTAAATTGCTAAGACAAAAGAATTAATGTAACTGTTAGTTGGGATTTTTTTTTGTAAATGCACATGAAACACATATATTTAGCTTATTTAATTGAAATGAGTACAATATTTATTTCATGTCCTTTCAATCTCAAACAAAAATCATCTTCAGGGGGGAATTGCTAAGACAAAAGAATTAATGTTGTCAATAGTTGTCAATTTTTTTTTTTTTTGTAAATGCGCATGAAACGCGCTTCGTGATAATAAATTTAAAAATTAACTTTTAAGAATATGTAAGGGACGTGATTTAATTAATATTTATTTATTGTTAATGTGTTAAAATACTGAACTTGCAATTTAGAAAAATAGAATTTACAATTTATGTATCCCAACACATTGCTTTTATAGGCATTTGAAAATATTGTTACTATACTCATAATTAATTTTATTTAGTGATGGTTTCATTATTTTATATAGAGAGCTTCAAGAATTTGAAGTTTTTTTTTTATTTTCATGGTGGAGTATACTTGTATTGCCAGTCAATATTTGCCTAAAATATCAATGTGGACAGGAATGTTCTTTAAATGTTGTACAATAGAACTTTAACTTTAGCCTTCTTGATAGTGTCGTCTTCGTGATACCAACATATATATATATATATATTATTTTTTCGTCAGAGATACAATCTCCCAAAAGCCATGTAAATTGATATATAATGTTGATCGTTTACAAAACATTAATTGACGGAGAAGTGTTATTACGGATGATTAAGTTGGTTGTATTAAATTTAGTATAGTTTGTAATTAGTGTTTTTTTTTTTCACTCGTCTCAATAAGGGATATATTAGCACTTATGAGTTATTTTTAAGGATTTTTGAATCTTGTTTGTAGTTGGAGTGTATTTGATTGCAGTATAATAGGTTAATATGTTTAGGATTATTTGAGAAAGTATTATATTATTTTTGATTTATGTTAATATTTCTAATAGTTTGTCTAATTTGTTTATCGACAAATGTAATTAGGAAAGGCATCATTAATGAAAGTTGGTTTACTGTTTTTTAATTGCTTGTAGAATTTTTCTGGAATAGTTAACTTTTGCACAGTCTATTACGTTTTGTATAATCGTTGTTTTTGTAATAGTTAAGACAATACGTTTTATAGTTGAGAGTGCACGTGTTTATGCTAGTTAGTTTTTGTTTTTATTAGATTGAAAGTACTTGGGAAAATAAAAAGAATAGGAAAAACTACGGCGTCTTTTTTAATCAGTTTAATAACAGCACTAAGAAATTGATCCGTGAATTTGAGAAGCTTAAAATAAAAATAACTAGACATAATAGGTCTTGATTTTCCAATCGAACACGCTTGAACAAAATAAAATAATATATATTAACATGGTTTGCTTATCTTCTTAATCGGTAAAAGCCGGTTGACATATATATATATATATATATATATATATATATAATAATAATAGTAATAATAATAATATATATATAATATCAGTCGATGATTAGTATGGATAATTCCAACAAGGATATAAATCCAAAGAGAGCTCACTGTAAGAACAGAGCAATATAATAATAAATACTGGACTCTTAAAAATCCTTCACGTCAGGTTATAATTTATTTCGTTGAACTCACGTCCGTCTCTTCAGACCATTTTTACATTAATCGAAATAAATTATAACCTGACGTGATGGATTTTTAATTATACTGTATTCATTATATATATATATATATATATATATAAGTGCGCAGGTAGGCAGAAAATAGAAAAAAACACGTTGGGTGCATAATCCGGGTTCCTTAGTATTTTTTTTATTTTTAAGAAGACAGTGCTCCATACAGAAGTAGAGCTTTATTATAATAATATTTTTGTTTAAAAATATGATTCCTTCGTTACATAAGGTTCTCATGTTTTTAAAACGAGGGCCGAAACCATCAAAATTATTAAAAATTAAGTTGAATTGAGGTGTTTAGTCCGTTTCATCTTCAAACGAAGATAGGAATAAGCTATCTTTTGGAACCAAGAGATAGCTTATTCCTCAATTCAACAAATTTTAATAATTATTTGGATGGTTTCGGCTCTTGTTTTTTGAACATGAGAACTCTTATGTATGAAAGAATCATATTTTTAAAAAAAAAATAAATATTATATATATATATATATATATATATATATATATATATATATATATCTATATCTGTTATTGAGTACTATCTCTGATATTGAGCACTTTATCCTATAAATGTAGCCCACCTTTAAAACTATATTTCTTCATATATATATATATATATATATATATATATATATAAAAAGTGAACATAGAAGTCAACACTATTGTTTGCTTCTATGTTTCTATTATCCCATAAATATAGCACATCTTAAAAAAAACTATATTTCTTCAATATATATATATATATATATATATATATATATATATATATATATATATTTTATGAAATGGATTATTTATTATGTTATTTTTATTGATACAATTTATTTAAGAAAATTCTCTGTTTTTAATTACACAGTATTAATTATATTTCCCTGAATTTTCGAGAAATTTCCTAAAGAATATGCGTTCTTCGACAGGAATCGTACATGTATTCCTTCAACGGAATCCGCCATTTAGCCTGACGTGCTGACGCTTCCCTTAGCTGAATAGTACAGAACGTCAGGTAAAATGACGGTTTCTCTGTAGGAATACAGGTTCCATTGAAACCGGTAAATATAATTAATATTGCCTAAAAACACAGTATTTACTTAAATAAATTGTATCTATAAAATAATGTATAAACACACACACACACACACACACATATATATATATATATATATATATATATATATATATATATATATATATACACACACGTTTCTATTTGATATCTTTTCACATAGCGTCATGGGTATGACGATAAGCTACATCCGCGTCCTGGGTATGGCAATAAACCGCATCCAAAAGCAAGGCCACTGATTGGGAGGTTTTGAGGAGCGTTGAGCCACATCTTAATTGCTGGTGTTCCCAGGTCAACTCTGACCCGGAGTGTCAGCACCTGTTAGGGTCCCAGCTATGGGCAAATAGTTACCCCCCCCTCCACCAAATAGGGGTCATGAAAGTGTAAAAATAGGTTTTACTACTAGCAATTAATTTTTGAAGGAAAAAATTATTACCAGTAATACATTTTTGAAAAAAAAAAAAAACCCAAAAAACCAGCAATATATTTTTTGAAGAAAACTCTTACCAGCGCTAAAAATCATGTCGGATTAAATAACGCATTGAGGTGTTGATATGCCATAAAACCAAACTTTTTACATACATAACTATGTTTTATTTTCTCTGTGATGATATTTAAATAGAATAAAACTTATATTTGTTTTCGAACAACGTAAATATTTTTAAAAAATCTAACTTATTTTTTTTTTAAATTTTTAAATTGCTTTTTTATCTTCTATTTTCTTTTTTTTTAATTTTCATAATGAATTTTTTTGATTTCGAACAGGGATAATTGAAGTTTTTACGAAAACATTTGAACCATTTGAGTTGCCTTTAACGTTAAATGCAGTAAAAATGCGATGGGTGTTAAATGTTAGTTTTGAATGTTTTAAATGCGGTCAGCGCATTGAAAAATAAATACAAACGATTATGGTCAAATCAGGCTGGACAAAAAAAAAAAAAAAAAAAGTTATCATTCGTGTACCGTAGTTAAGCAGTGTCAAGCTTGGTCATTACTTGGATGGGGACTGCTTGGGAATACCGTGTCTTGTTAGGGACCTCTTACAATCCGAAGTATGTTTCGGATTTAAATAGCCTGTAAAAAGAGAATCAAATAATAAGCACGTCTTGCCATTGCACCCGAAAATTAATGAGCCGTTAATTTTGAATGTGAATAAATGTATAAAAAAGTTATATCAGAGACGCTATTTGGTTTTAGTGAAAAGTAGAAAGCATAGAAAGAAAGAAAGAAAGAAAGAAAGAAAGAAGGGAAGATAAAGGAAGCGTTAACACTCAGTTTAGAATACGGAAGAAATGTGACTGATTCGACACTATGGAAGTGGTATAACATATCCGAGCTGTAAAGTTCTGAAGTGGGAAAGAAGTGATATATTTGCTCTTACTCTTTCTCTTTATCTCTCTCTCTTCTCTCTCTCTTTCCCTCTCCCCTCTCTCTTCTCTCTCTATTCTCTCCCCCTCTCTCTCTTCTCTCTCTCTTCTCTCTCTTCTCTTTTCTCTCTCTCTCTCTCTCTTCTCTCTCTTCTCTCTCACTCTCTCTCTCTATCTCTCTCTCCCCCTCCCTCCCTCTCTGAGTATATTTGTGTATATACCGGAAATGAAAACCCTGCAGATTTTTTATTTTTTGCAAAAATCCATTGAGAACTTAGGATGATTTTTTTTCTAAAATTTAATCAGTAATTGAACTTTTGTTTTTTTTTTCTTTAAATAAAATTTCATATTTTGCAAATTCCCCATGTTCTTTCAAACTTTATTTTCTACAAAAATTCAAGGTTTATTTTTTATTTTCTTTCTTTCTTTCTTTAACCGTCTTTCTTTCTAAGGTTTATTTTTACTTATTAACCGTCTTCCTTTCTTTCTTTAACCGTCAATCTTTTTTTTCTAAGATTTATTTTTATTTATTCGCCGTTTTTCTTTCTTTAACCGTCTCTCTTTCTTTAAACATATACCTTTTTTTCCTCAACGTCTTTCTTTCTTTAATCATCTTTTTTCTAATGTTTATTTTTACTTATTAACTGTCTTTCTTTCTTTAACCGTCTTTCTTTGCTTCTAAGGTTTATTTTTACTTATTAACCATCTTTCTTTAACCGCCTGATATTTGATTAAACACATTTCTTTCTAATCTTTATTTTAACCTATTAACCGTTGTTTCATTCATAAACCATCTTTCTTTCTTTCTTTCTTTTTTTACCCGTCTTTCTTTCTTTCTTTCTTTCTTTCTTTCTTTCTTTACCCGTTCTTCTTTCTTTCTTTCTTTCTATGGTTTATTTTTACTTATTAAACGTCTTTCTTTCTATCTTTAACCGCCTTTATTTCTTTCTTTACCGGTTTTCCTTCTAATGGTTATTTTTACTTATCAACCGTATTTCTCTTTTTCTTTAACCGTCTTTCTCTCTTTCTTTCTTTAACCATCTTTCTTTAGGTTTTTACGCTTCTTTCTTTCTTTCTTTCTTTCTTTCTTTCTTTCTTTCTTTCTTTCTAATGTTTATTTTTATTTGTCCAACGACTTTCTCTCTTTCCTTGAACATCTTTCTTTAATCGTTTAATCATTTTTCTTTCTTTCTAAGGTTTATTTTAACTTTACCCGTCTTTTTTTCTTTCTTTAAACATACAGTCTTTCTTTCAAAGGCTTGTTTTTAGTTATTAATCTTTTTTCTTTCTGTAATTTCTTTCTTTCTTTAACTGTCTTTCTTTGTAAAGTTTACTTTTACTTATTAACCATCTTTCTTTCTTTAGTCATATTTCTTTCTTTCGTTAACTGTCTCTCTTTCTTTCTGAGATCTATTGTAACATATTAACTTTCTTTCTTTCTTTCTTTAACTATCTCTGTTTATGTTTTTACGCTTCTTTCTTTGTAAGTTTTTTTTATTTATCAAACGTCTTTCTCTCTTTCTTTAAACACCTTGCTTCCTTTGATTAAACGTCTCTCTTTCTTTAACCATCTTATTTTTTATTTATTGATTGTCGTTCTTTCTTTCTTTCTTTCTTTCTTTTCTTTCTTTCTTTCTTTCTTTCTTTTTTCTTTCTTTTTTATTTCTAAAGTCTACTTTTACTTATTAACCGTCTTTTTTCTTTCGTTAACCGTCTTTCTTTATTTGTGAGGTTCATTTTAACTTATTGTCTGTCTTTCTTTTTTAAGTTTTTTTTAACAGTCTTTCTTTCTTTTTTTCTTTCTTTCTTTTTACTTACTAACCGTTTTTCTTTCTTTAACCGTATCTCTTTCTTTGATCATGTCTTTTTTCTTCAATGTCTTTTTTTCTTTAACCATATTCTTTTCTAATGTTTATTTTTACCTATTAAGCGTCGTTTCTTTCTTTAACCATCTTTCTTTCTTTCCTTTGTTTATTTTAAGGATTTATTTTTACTTATTAAACGTCTTTCTCTCTTTTCACTAACCATCTTTCTTTCTTTAACCGTGTTTATGTTTTTACGCTTCTTTCTTTCTTTCTTTCTTTCTTTCTTTCTTTCTTTCTTTCTTTCTTTAACAGTTTTTCTTATTTTTCTTTAACCGCCTGTATTTCTTTCTTTACCCGTTTTTCTTTCTAATGTTTATTAACCGGTTTCTCTCTTTCTTTAAGCGACTTTCTTTCTTTCTTTCTTTCTTTCTTTCTTTCTTTCTTTCTTTCTTTAACCGTTTTTCTTTTTACTTTTACTGTCTTTATTTTTTTTCTTTCTTTCTTTAACCACCAACCTTTCTTTCTAAGGTTTATTTTTACTTATTAACCATCTTTCTTTCGTTAACTGTCTCTCTTTCTTTAAACATATTTCTATTATATTTCAAAATCTTTCTTTCTTTAACCATCTTTCTTTCTTTCTATGGTTTATTTTTATCTTATTAAACGTCTTTCTTTCTATCTTTAATCGCCTTTATTTCTTTCTTTACCTGTCCTTTTTCTAATGTTTATTTTTTTAATTATTAACCGCCTCTCTTTCTTTAACCGTCTTTCTTTCCTTCTTTCTTTCTTTAACCGTCTTTCTTTCTTTAAAAGTCTTTCTTTCTTTAATCGTTTTTCTTTGTTTTTACGCTTCTTTCTTTCTATCTTTCTTTCTTTCTTTCTTTCTTTCTTTCTTTCTAATGTTTATTTTTATTTTTCAAACGTCTTTCTCTCTTTCTATAAAACCCTTTCTTTCTTTGATTAACCATGTTTTTTCTTTTACCATCTTTCTTTCTTTCTTTCTTTCTTTCTTTCTTTCTTTCTTTCTTTCTTTCTTTCTTCAACCGTCTTTCTTTCTTTTTTTTAAAAGTTCGCTTTTGCTTATTAACCGTCTCTCTTTCTTTAACCACAACTCTTTCTTTCGTTCATCGTCTTTCTTTTTTTTTCTGAAATGTATTTTTTACTTATTTTCTTCATTTCTTTGTATCTTTCTTTCTTTGTTTAACCGTCTTTCTTTCTTTAATCATTTTTCTTTGTTTTTACACTTCTTTCTTTCTTTCTTTCTTTCTTTTTCTAATGTTTATTTTCATTTTTTTTTCTTTCTCTCTTTCTTTAAAACTCTTTCTTTTTTTGATTTTACCATCTTTTTTCTTTTACTTTTTCTTTCTTTTCTTTCTTTCTTTCTTTTTTCTTTCTTTCTTTCTTTAACCATATTTCTTTCTTTCTTTCCTTAACCGTCTTTCTTTCTTTCTTTCTTTCTTTCTTTCTTTTTCTAATGTTTATTTTCATTTTTCAAACGTCTTTCTCTCTTTCTTTAAAACTCTTTCTTTCTTTGATTAACCATCTTTTTTCTTTTACCGTATTTCTTTCTTTCTTTCTTTCTTTCACCATATTTCTTTCTTTCTTTCTTTCTTTCTTTCACCATATTTCTTTCTTTCTTTCTTTCTTTCGTTCTTTCTTTCTTTCTTTCTTTCTTTCACTATATTTCTTTCTTTCTTTCTTTCTTTCTTTCTTTGTAAAATTCGCTTTTGCTTATTAACCGTCTCTCTTTAACCACAACTCTTTCTTTCGTTCATCGTCTTTCTTTTTTTTTCTGAAATTTATTTTTTACTTATTTTCTTTATTTCTTTGTATCTTTCTTTCTTTGTTTAACCGTTTTTCTTTCTTTATTTTCTTATTAGGACTCAGACTTAGGACGCGTGACTGTTAGAACTGCTAGGTAACCATCACGTATTTGGACAGGATATTAGACGAATCCAGAACATATACTGGCAGTAAAACTCCTGCCAAGGAATGGGAAAATGAATTGGTGTGAGACAAGGATGTGTCTTCTCACCGGACTTATTCAACCTATACAGCGAGGCGATTCTGAGAGAACTAGAAGTCCTATATGGCTGCTCGGTCAGCGAATGCCACATGTTTCTTTATAGGGAAACGGTTATTATTACTATTACCGTTACATGCAATTAGAAAATTTCATCATCATCATCATCATCATCATCATCATCATCATCATCATCAGTCCCACGACCGTGTGGATAGCAGGGTCACTACGCAGCTGAGCAGCAGACCTGTCGGTTTCCGTTGCATGCCAAACGTCTGCGCCCCTACGATGGATGTCCCATATCACCTCGTGACCTTGTGTTATACCAGAACATTGCCTATTCTATTGTAATAGACTCTTCCACACATAATAAGTAGTAGTAGTCGCCAGTTGGGCTCAGTGGTGTTGAGCGAGTCAGTCGATGTCGGACATTGAAGTATCAACCATCACAACTAGATTGCTGCGTCATTAACTCTTATTTCAAGTTCCTAACGTTTTGTACGTCGAACCCTTTTAGGACCGACTTAGCGAAATACAAGCCTCCACTGTGAAAACTGCTCTAAAACACCTTGTCAACCCATGCTTACCCATAGCTGCCTCTTCTTCATCTGCCTAAAATGGTACCTTGTAACTTAGCAGCAGAAAGTTTTCGAGGTTTGTTGATTTCTAATTAAACCCTTTATTCGCCATAGCTATTCCGAGTAATTATCCCTGATGCATGATTTGTACAGAATACAGCGAGGCGATTCTGAGAGAATTAGAAGTCCTACGAGGATTCATTAATGGCGGCGACAATCTTAGCAATATAAGGACACTGTTTTAATAGAAAGGAAAGTACAAGAATTCCTACAGAAGGGTGTGAAGGAAAGCGAGAACAAAGGATTAAACATCAATTACAAGAAGACTTGCATGGTCGTTAGCAAGAGAAAGGGCCCATTATGCAAACAAAAAAATTAGAGTTAACAGAGGACGAAAAGCGTGGCACTGAAATCCGAAGTCGTATTGGCATAGCGAAAACGCCTTCCAAAAGTTAAGCATTTTAAATGATTTACCCATCCAGACTTTTGTTATTATCCTCTATTTAGATATATCGAGAAAAAATTCCGGCAGCCTGTTTATTAAGACCCCCCCCTTTCCATTGTATTAGTAACCGAAGACTGGGGGGGGGGTGAAACTAGCCAAAGTGACATCTACTAACAGGAAACAGGCAATTTGTGCGACAAAATTTTGTTTTCCAGCGAAAGAAGAAATTGTCTCCAGACAAACACTCAGTAATTCTCTCAAAGAATTTGGCATTTCCAAGAATTTTCTTATTTTTTTATACCAAAGCCTCAAAAAATTGTCTGCTTCCTGTCATTTTTTGTTTATCTATATTTGCCAAATTCGGGCTCGGAAAAAATATTTCCCGATATATATATATATATATATATATATATATATATATATATATATCAGTGAACATAGAAGATAACACTCAGAGGCGACAGGCTGTTTCATGCTACACGCAATCGTCAGACGGCCTGACGATTACGTCTAACATGAAGCAGCCTGTCGCCTCTGAGTGTTGACTTCTATGTTCACTTTATATCTATATTTCCATACACTCTATCTATGATATTGAGCACTTTATCCCATAAATATAGCACACCTTAAAACTATATATATATATATATATATATATATATATATATATATATAAAAAGGCTTAAACACTAATATTCCATGGTCATAATTTATTTCATTGGAATCGTAAATACGATCCAATTCATCAGACCTACAAATTCAAAAAGAAAACAGAAAAAACAACTCCGGAAATAAAAAATTTAGAGAGAGTGTAAGTATGAGAATGTGGGACGAATTTTAGAGCTATAGAGAGGGGTAACGGACGAGAGAAGGTGGGAGATTAAAATTTAACAGAGAGAAGTTTTAGAGAGTGGAGTCAAAGACGGTTGAAGTGAGAAAAATATGAATGTTGTCGGATGTCTAATACATTAAAGATGTAACCGGAAAGGATACATTTTGTGGTGACATACACAAACAATAGACGATCTAATCTTAAAGATGAGATGAAGAGGGAGGGAGAGGAAAAGAAAAGAAAAAGGGGTGGGGGAGAGAGATGGGGTGGAGGGAACTAAAAACTGAAGGGCATTTACTGAAAGGGCTGCTGTGTAATTAAGAAAATTGGACAAAATTAATATCGACTACAGGTTACAGATCAAATATACACATATAAAAAATAAATATAACGATTATCTAATCTAACAAGGATCTATATTTTTATGTTCAAAAACACATGCGTATACACACATACACAATAACATACACGTACATACATACATACATACATATAGGCGTGTACACACATACACACATATATACCCATGTACACATATGTACACATATATATATGTATATTCATATACATATACATATATATATATATATATACATGCATAAACATACACATAATATATGTATACATATACATACATAAATATACACACACATACATACATATACACATACATCCATACACATCCACTCCTACATGTATATACATTTACACACATATATACTTACGGACATACACATACGTGCACATAAACATATATACATAAAACCTTACACCTCTATACAATTACATACACCCACTAAACAAATAAACAATGTATCCCTATATCTATCCATCTAGCTATACATACATACATACGTATACACCCATATACAGATATATATGAATACATACATACCAAAATATACACACACACATATATAAACATATCTACATACACATCTACCTATATATACATACATCCCTATACGCATACATATATATACATATATAAGCATACATATATATATATACACATACATATATATATACACTCCTAATATATACACATATACACACATACACACACAAGTACGCACAGATACATATACATATAAATCAAAATGTAAAATCTAAAAAAGTAAAATTTAAAAAATTTTGTTTAAAAAAAAATTAAATACATAGCGCATCACATAAACATACACAAGGATATATATAGATAAACATAATAGATAAACATAATAGTCATTCCATTAAAATGTCATGCCCGATGTTATTGAACCAAGATGGAACTGACATAAGTGACAACATGTTACAAAACGATGTTTATGTTTTGAATCGTTTCTTATGTATACATTTAGAAAATATCTCATTACGAAGATTTAGCAACTCATCTTGATTCTTATCTTTAATAATAAAAAATGTTCCGCCATGCAGAGATCACACCGATCGCGGAAGTTATTAGGGGTTCTAGCTCT